ACCAATTAAAACTAGTCAGCCCTCTTTGAATTGGCAATACTATTAATGAAGTTCTGCTGAAGAAAAGAGCAGACCAAGGAATATTTGCATCAGCAAAGAATTTCAAACAACCAATTAGCTGGAGAAATCAACACTGCAAGCATAAAAAATTCACAAACATTAAAAGAGGCAAAATTCATCCAATAAATTATTCATTATGAATTATTTGTCCAGTTTCCCTTAGATTTGGTTTCAGTTATTACTAATTAGTTACGGGGCCCTTTACTTACTAGGTCAGACTTGGTTGGGAAGTGGTGGAAAACCATTATCTCAAGCAGTGATTTAATGGCAGCTCCTGGGAGCTGGAACTCAAAGCTTGAATCACCAAGTGACTCTTACGAGCTCTCTTGTTCCAGCTGTCACCAACACAGCATGATTTTCAGTGGTGACAGTCATCAAACACTGCATTCATCTTTCCCTTCCCAAGTCACGACCGAGATGCTGTTGGGTCAATATTTTGGAGTTGTCATTGTTCAATGCATTCAGTGAGTGCCCCAGGGACTGCAGCCTCTAGGGCTGTCAGTCAGACTTGCTGCAAAGCTTGGGATGTTTCTTTGTGCTTTTGTACATGCTAGTGGTCTTGGAAAAAGAAAACACAAAACGAGATTAAGTATCATAGGGTTTCTTGTTTCTTTGGCTTTGCCTCTATCTGGGCAGTATGTTGTATAAAAGGGCTTTGGCCCAGGACGTGGGCTGTGAGATGTGAGGCAAATCCAGTAAAGGAATAATCATCCAATAAGCAAATTCATTTCATCTCCTCATGCTTCAATTTTCCCATCCACAAGACACTGCTAATGATACTTCCCCTGCTCTAAGATCTTTGGATGAAGGGAGCTACATATGAGAAAAAAATAGAAGAAAAGAAAAAAAAAAAAAAACCCACAGCATTAACTCTTTAACAAGGCTAATCCTCTTTGTCTGCTCTAACCACAGAAGCATGCAAAGCCTGGTGTTAGATGTGCTTCTGCGGTGCAGAAGAACTATAATTGGGAGCTCAGAAAGGTACAGGGGAGCAGAAGCAAAGGCAGCCAGCAGCAGGAAATAGCTATAGTAGGAGGAGAGATGAGGTGGAATCCCATGGATCAGAACGCCCATCCCAAAGGCAGGATGTCTTGAGGTCTACAGGACCATGGGTGGTGTAAAGGCAGTGGAGCAGGAGCACTTATTCCCCATGTTGCATGATATAGAATGATTTGGTGGCAGATTCAAGACATGGGGAGGATTCTCACTTTGGGGAGAATTACAGGCTATACCTGCTTCAATCCATCCTTAAGATAAATGACATGTTTTGCTTGGTTTTGAAGACTCGTGCACAGCTCTCTCCTAAGTAGCAGAAGCTTGCAGCTACATATATATGCCTTGCAGAGAGATAATACCAAAATTGAGAAGACATCCTGTTAACAGACCATTTGCATTTTCATACAGCCACATACAACCAGGGCTAAACACACCATTTATTTTGGTTACTTTGCTGATTACAGGACGGGAGCCTGAAAAGAAGGTCTGAGTAGAATGAAGCCTTGTAGATTTTCTCTGTGGAGTTTCCACGTGGTCGCGCTTCATTGACAAAATGAGTCCCAGGAAGGTTTATTCATTTTGCTGCTTATTGTTTTCTCTAACAGGTGCGATCGCTATAATTAGATCTGTACAGCAGCATTTTCTTGTTACTCGAATTCCTTCTGTCTCTCTCGGATGCTCCTGGCTATAGCACTACTGTGGCTGCTGCTTAGAGAAGGAGTGAAAATGAGTTGTTTTCTTTCCCTCCTTTTTCTTCATTCATCCACATTAAGCCAGGAGAAACATAGCCTCTGCCTCTCACAGATCATTTGCTCCTTTCCCTCCTTGGGCTCAAAAGAAGCTTTGGTGGCCAAGGTGGTGATGGGTGGATGGCTGGACTGGATGAGCTTAGTGGACCTTTCCAACCTTAACGATTCTATGATTCTAAGGTGCCACCAAATGCCCTCACTCATAGCTGAGACAGGCATCTCCCTTGGAAGCGCAGTGTGGACCAACAGGAGGTACACTCACAAGTGCATAAGAGCAGAGCTGGGGTGAGGCTGATGTCCAGCAGCTCAAGGGGTACTCACTAGATCTTTTGCTCATTTAGAGACTGCTTGTCTGTCTTTGCAATATAACCCATCAAACAAGTGTTATAGGTAGTGCCCATGTCAAATATTTGGAAATGTATGGTGCAATCAGTTTAACCAGCAACAATCAATCCTTTCCCAAGGCCTTCACCAAGCATCTTCCCCCCTCAAAAGAAGTAAGTCTGCCCAGAAAACAGGAGAACACACAGCTTTTTTGGCACCATACTGAAGTGAGATATTTGCTGTCATTTTCCACCTCTATTATATGTGTAAATTCACATGATGCTACAGAGTGGGGTCTTTCTGGGAACAACAGGGTTGCATTTTGGCAGCAGCCTCGAGGCCAGATCAGTTTGAGGCTATGAGAAGCAACAACGCGCTGAGAAAATGAGGCTCTCAAGATAACAAGCGAGGGGCATGCGCTGCTTTCAGTCAATCAAGACCAAATTCAGCCACGGAGCAATCAAGCTCAATTCAAACGACTTCTGCATTATTATTGTTATTATTTATCACTTGAATTATTGGAGCACCTTGAGGAGGCAGCTGAAATGAGAGTGGAGAGGACTGGCGCTGTACAAAGGTATAATGAGAACATGGCAGCCCAGGCAAGTACACAGGCTGCAGAGATGGGGCCAGAGACCAGAAGAGAGGTGGGGCTGCAATTGGGCATTAGCAAGATCAGCTTTGGCATGTTTTGAGTAGGCTACTCAGTATCCAGCAAGTTCAAGTCTCCCTCCGTAGATGGTAGAGATAGAAATATAGCAGAGCTGGAGTCCAATATAGGTCCTCTGTGGAGTTGACTTTTCCTCGCTGGTGAGCAGCATGGGGATTTCAACCTCCTGGAGGGCCAGACAACAAACACAGAATCATAGAATCATAAAATTTGGAAGCCATCAACCCATCCCCACCATGCCCATCAACCATGGCCCTCAGCATCTCCACGGTTCTTAAACACCTTCAAGGTGACTCTACCACCTCCCTGAGCAGCCTGTTCTAATGTATCATCATTCTTTCTGAGGATTAGTTTTTTCCTCATATCCAACCTGACCCTCCCCTGGCACAACTTGAGGACATTACCTCTCATCCTATCACCGTCACTTTGGAGAAGAGGCCAATCTCCCACCTCATCATCACCTCCTTACAGGGAGCTGTAGAGAGTGATAAAGTCTCCCCTGAGCCTCCTCTTCTCCAGACAGAATCGTTCCAGTTCTCTCAGCCACTCCCCATAAGATTTGTGCTCCATATCCTTCACAGCTCTCTTGCCCTTCTCTGGACATGCTCTAAGGCCTCAATTTCTTCCTTGTAGTGAGGGGCCCAAAACTGAACACAGTACACCATCCCAAGCTCGGTGCAAGCCAGTAGCCTTCATAGCCCTTATGCACAAACCACTCGTTTCCATCCAATATCCTACATGCACAGACACACATTCCTATCATGCTCCAACAGCCCTTCATCTTTGCCATTGTACGGCTACAGACTGACACATCTCAATAAACTCATTGTCTGCTGTGTGCCTGACCCAGAGCTTTCCCCAGCACCCACCCCTCTCAGTGCTGAAGCCAAGGATCCCGTGGCACATGTACTAGGGTCAGTCCAAACGAGCAGGAGACAAGTCCCTTCCATCTACCTGGCTGTCTTGTGCACACCAGCTGTCATCTGTAAGTAATATGCTAGACATGTTTCTTTTTTCAGTTAAAAAAAAAAAGAAAAAAAAAAAAGTAATTTATTTTCTAATTACAAAAGAATATAGGGAAAAAAAGAAAGAAAGAAAAGAAAAGAAATTATGACTACCAGATGGCAAATCACCATTTAGCAGGAGCAGGCAAAAAGAAGACTCAGTCAATCACGGGGTAAGTGATAAGACACCAGACTGAACCACAGAAAAGAAAGGCAGCTCATTACACAAAGCACTAAATTATTCTTCCTGGGACTTCTCCTCCTTCTTTCCCCCTTCTATTTTTTATTCTGAGCCATAAAGCAAGTAATTCCACTGAGACCCTCTTTTAAATGATTAACATTTCCATTTTAACTTTTGTTTTTGATTGTGTCCCTGCCATTAATCTTTCTGTCTTTTCATGCACCCTGCTGTTCAACCTCATCTTCTACCTTTCCCTTTTTCTGGCCCATCTCCCCCCACCACCGAAATTAGCCTTTTGCTGGGGGGGGATCAGGCCAAGGCTGGGGCTCCACTCCACGAGACATCATCTGAGACCTGGCAGCACTGCAGCCAGCAGTAGATGCTCCATCCCTCCAACAAGGCATCTAGCTGAGATGAGCACCTTGTATGTGCTTATGTATCTGTTTGGAGGCAATTTAAAAATCCCAGGTAAAGTGATAATCCTGAGATAAACCTGGCCAGCAATCCCTGCCTGTCTGTGATGGGAGCTGATGATATCCATGGCCAGCTGAGAGCTATTTCTGGCTCTGTTCCCTTCCAGCAAGTAGCTAATTCATCACTTGCACGGCTCTGAAAAGTTTTGGGCAGCACAGTGCCTTTGGCCAAGAACACAGTGGTGTCTGCTGCTGCTGTTGTTGTGCCAGGGGAGGTTCAGGTTGGATATAAGGAAAAAATTTCTTCTCTGAAAGCTAAAAGGCACTGGCAGGGAGTGGTGGAGTCACCATCCCTGGAGGTGTTCAAGAACTGTGCAGATGTGGCACTGAGGGACATGTTTATGGGCATGGTGGAGATGGATAGTGTATGAGAACTGTTGAGTCACAGCCTGAACTACTGATTGAGCACCTGGAGGAAAGGCCCTGTCAGCCCTGGGAGCACAGGTGAAGGTAATTCACCTGTGATACCAGAAAGGGTGGAGCCTGGCTCTACTCCTCTTAGACCTCATTTAAGGGCTGGCAGCCACTAAGAAGGGTTCTTTTGTTGGAGATCTCTCTTCTGTGGAGTTTTAATGTAAGCCTACATCTTCAGAGAGAGGTGAGCATTCTTCTTTTTGTAACATCTTCTCATTGTGCTGGTGCTGTTACAGGTTAGGCAATTGGAGTTGGTGATCTGGAGGACTTTTCCAACCTTAATGATTCTATTTCCTATTCTGCTGTCTGAGGAGCCTGGATGTAGGAGTGACATTAGGCAGCAGATGGTAGGATATGTTGCATTTCTGTAGATATCTGGAAACAAGATAATGGGGGGAACACTGGTTATTCACCAGTGACACCACCTGTTTTGCCACTGGTCCCAAAGAGCTGTAGGTCACACCACAGGTGGCATCTCTTTGAAGTTATAGGTATTTGTCTGTACTGCACCCAACAACAACCAGGGACAGCAGTGTCATGGGGCCAGAGGCAGACTTTCCATTCTGCCTCATTCCTCAAACTTTTCTCAGCCAGGCAGTCCATGATGGAAGCCATCTCCCCAGCAAGATGTTGTGTTTCTGCAGGTGCTCCCTACCTCCATTTTGCAGAGAAAGCCTGAGAGGAGCAGGCACTGGCACCCGCAGCAGGAGGAGCAGCCCTGTGTTTCTCTGGTGAGGTGCAATTTGAAGCTGAGGATTTTGTGAGTGCATAAATCCCTTCCTACTATGCGCTTTCTTGCCCTGTTGGCATTTATGGCTTGTTGATGTGTTTGAGGAGCATTAAGCAAAATACAGATAGCCTGGCATTTTATTACTCATATTTCTCTGCTCTTAATGACTGAGTGGAGCACAACTTGCTAATGAACTAGGCTGAAATGAATGCATTTGTGGCACTAATTGAAATACACCCAAGGTCTGGCTTTCAAAAAGGAGTAAAATCTCCAGCACTCTCAAAAGAGCCTTTTTTCCCTTTAACCCTTTCCTGCTGTCTTTCGCTACAGCTGCATCTGGGTGTAATAGAACATGGCAGCTTATGCCTACAGGAACCAGGTGCTTGAGGTGCAAGATGCTGGGAAAAGGGCTTGGTGGTGTTCTTTGCCTATAAAAGCAGCTCAGTGGGTACAGCACAGCCCTCAGGCGGCAGAGGGTGTGGAGTGGTGGGGAGATGGATCTGGAAGTGTGTGGCTGGAGGGAGGTCAGGCTCTTCCTAGCTTGTAGGCTGCATGTATCCATAAGGAGACTAGTAATTGTGTGATGCAGGTTGGTATTTTCTAGAAGCTATATAGACAAAAGATGAGGCTTCAGTCAATACATGAAGTACTTCTAGCAAAATAGGGAGAGTGTTAGCTTTTAGCAGCGCAGGGACACTGCTTAATTGTAGGTGCTTACAAACATGGATGCTTGCTTGTCAATAAAAACCAAATCTTGCACTTGAAGAGAAAACAAATTAAAATTAATTAATCAGTGGAAAACACTTCATTTGAACTGGGAAAAAGCAGATGCAACTAGCAAGTCTAGGTGGACAAACAAGATAATCAAATCAATACCCCCACTTTTCTGACTGGCTCACAGCCACAGGCTACAAAGTGAGAACAGGCATGTGGATCCACTTCATTTCTATTAGGTATCAGCTGGTTCTGTAATTAAGTGGAATTTGAGCCTGCTGGGGAATTTGTTGCCCTGTCCCTGGGTGCATCTGCCTCTGTGAGGGCAGTAGCTCATCTGTGCTGCTGGTATTCCTAGCACTCCTCTTGCTTCTGCATGGATCTTTCTTTCTCTCCTACCCAATGCAGAGCTTGTTGCAAAGTGTAAATTGGAGGAGGGTGGTGGATGCTGGAGAGAAAAACCCAGTCCATTGCTGTAGTTAGTAATCAGTGCAATTGTCAACAGGAATAGCTGTAAATGAGTAGGGCCAGGTGTAAGGTTTAGTTAATAATGCTCTAATTGAGACTAGATTGGTATGTCTTGACATGGGCAGGAATGAGGAATGCTTTTATTTCTGTTTTTTGTTGCTGTTGACAATTTAAATATGTTTCTTAGATTTTTACAGATGACAGTTACGTTGCTGGTATACTGAAATTGTGTGCCCTCTGTGGGGATGTCGAACTCAGATTGAATATTAGGAAAAACTTCTCAGAGTGGTGATGCATTGGCACTGCTGCCCAGGGAGTGGTGCTGGAATCACCATCCCTGGAGGTATTGAAGAGCTGTGGAGATGTGGCACTGAGGGATGTAGCTATGGGCATGGTGGGTGTGGGTTGGGATTGGGTGTAATGGTCCAAGTGATCTTTCCTAACCTTCATGATTCTGTGGTTCTCATCCATACAACCCCAGCAGTGCACCTGTTCCTGGAGGCTGGAAGCAATGTTGCTTTTAATTGGCTAATGTTGCCCTATAAAACTTGAGCTTTAAGACTCGGAAACCTGATAGCTGCTTGGAGTTCCCTTGGAAATAACCAGAGATGGCCCAAGAGCACCTAAAAGGAAGAGCGTGTAAGTTCTGTTTTCTTTAATTGAATTTTTAATTATTATTTGATATTTGCTCTCTGCAAGAAGAAGCTAACTTTGTCCTCGGCCTGGCTAGAAGCTGAGGAGAAGGCTCATAAATATTCATTTGAAACTGTTGCAAATTAATTTCACTGCAGTTCTTTGTGGTTTTGCTTCTCACAAGCATTCAAGTGAATGTGTTTTGGTATAAGGGGTGGTAAACAGAAAAGGCAATTAAAAAAAAAAAAAGTGTAACAAATATTTGCCAAAAATAATAAAGAGAAAAGTTATTCACTTAATTTACAAGCAGATTCACATCAGAGCAGGAAGAACTGCTGTCACCCCACTGGGACCATCCAATATGCTGCATCACCTGCATATCCAAGTGGGTCACACTGCACATTTCAAGCAGCAGAAGTGACTCAAGTTAAACAAATGGCTTGGAAATTCACAGGAAAATTTTAACAACAACAAAAAAAGGAAAAATAAACAGCAGAACTGCAGCAGTTCTTCCTGGATTCTGCTGGTGAATGCTCAGCTTTTCTTTGTTGCATCTACTTTTTATTTAAATTTTTTTTTGCTGCTTTTTAGTTACACTTCAAGCTTTTCATTTAGGCAGCTGAAATATGTATTTCACCTGCAGTATTTCTTATTCCAGAGGTGAATGTGGATCTGTTTTGAGACTGGAAAAAAAAAAATCACTATTGCTGTGAGATTCAGGGTCTTTCTGCAATACCAAAAGCTTATGAAAAGAAAAGTTGAGTCTTGTTGATCAGGACTGCATATGTGTGTTTGCATTTGCACCTTAATGTTCATTGCAATGATTCTGTTGCCTCCTCACCCCCCTGCTTCCTTCACCCCAGGTCTAATTAAAACAAGAGTGCACTGGGCTGCCTTTTGGTCTATTTCATCTGCTGATATTTTTTTATGTTAAATCCACCAAGGAAATCTCCTGAAGGCTTTGAAGACTTGGGCTGTGTGAATAAAGATGTCACAATGCTAGACTTGGGGTTTCTTAATGAGGACAGAAGATTTGATGTCAGGACACTTCAGTGCCCCAAGGAAAGAGATGCTCTCCAACCAGCTCTCTTTCTCACTTTATTTTTTGTAGCCTTGTTGCAAAGGCTAAAGCTTTTTTCTTCTCTGCTATCTTTTATTCTTTTTCCATCCTTCAATGAGGAAGGGGAAAAATGAGGAGGAAATAGATTTCCATAGAATCATCTGAGCACTGAACAGGGACACCCACAGCTCCATCAGGTGCTCAGAGCCCATCCAGCCTGACCTTGGCTGTCTGCAGGGATGAGACACCATCACCTCTCTGGCAAATCTATGCTGCTGCCCAGTTCTACAACTCCCATCATAATTCATATCAATATTTCTTTACCTCATTTTATCTCAGTGCCCTACACAGACTTCTGCTTCCCCCTTTCCCATCTAGGTCAGTGTAACCTGCCCTCTTTTTGCATCTGCCTTCCTCTCATCTCAAAAGTTCTTAGGGAAGGGAAGTTTGCTTTAGCAAGACATGAGGGAGCCTGTGGGAACAGTAGGGTGTCATTAAGGCAGAGCAGGGTGTTCTCTTGGCCAAATCACTTTTTTGTTGGAGAAAACTTCCAGGTTTCTGGGGAAGAGGTGTTTCCTACATGTGGGATATGCCTGTTAGTGATAGGCATCTGCTTCCCTTTGGGGTGTGCAATTCTCTGAGAGAACATTGTGTTGTCAGAAGTTTGTGCCTACATGAGAGACCAGGAGGAGTACTTCCTTTTTGTAACAGAGAAAGAAAAGTTTGGGGCAAAGCTGTAAATCCAACCCAGTGGCAGCAGAAGCCAATTTAGCTCCTAAGGATACAGTCTGTGTACTTCTTCATTAAGCTCAAGCATAGCTGGAGTCTTTGCTTCAAACCTCAGAATTTCAAGCTCAGCATGAGTCAGTTCCAAAGTGCTGAAATATTTAAGCTTTGTTTTTGTTGTTGGTTTGTTTTTTTTGGTTTTTTTTTTTTTTTTTTCCACTCAGGAGCTGGATTTATTGACACTAAATGAGCTGTATGATTTCTCTTCTGAGAAAATCCTGATGTCTGGTGTTGGTAGTGATGATAATGATTGTTTAAAATTAAGCTCTTTTCATTGACTGGCCACACCTACTTAGTTCCATCCTCTCCAAATAAGACACAATCTTTTTTCTCCATCAGGATTCCTGCTCAAAGCCTATAGCCTTCTTGCTTCCTTGGGTAATGCTAATGCATTTTAATAAGGACATGAGTGCACACTCACTTCATTAGTTTGTACTTTGCAATTGTCCAGGCCTGGAGGCTGCTGGGAGATGGCTGGAGGAGAGAGGAGAGGTGCCATGTTGTAAAATACATGAGCAGGTGCAAAGATGGGTGCTCTTATAGTAAGGGGAATGTGAATGCTTTTGCTTTGCAACTTTGTGAAGAGTTGTCAGCCCTTCCCTTCAGAACAAATCATGGTTCATTGGCTGGTTGTTGGCTTTTTGACATAGTTTTTTAAACAAAGTGTATAGCCCCATGTGTATATTCTCAGGTGGAGACTTGTGCTGAAAAATACAAGATTTCTCAGCCTTCTGTTTACTGAGCAAACTTGATGCAGCAATCAAAGGTGCCCACTGCTGCCCTGTTGGAGAACGAGCGTGGATCCAAGCAGAGAAGAAGCTGTGCTGGAGTTGCTGCAGAAGTTCTGCTTGGGCTTCAATTCTCAAGTGAAACCCTCTGCTGCCTGCTGAGCTCCACACCTGTAGTGATCTGACCTTAGACCAGGGCCTGACTTAGTGCTCAGGACTGTATATTCAGCAGTGTTGTTTGCTCAGGGGCTGGCTGTTTTTAAGTAAGCATGAAGTAGGACAGTATAAGAGTATAGGTTACCTTCTATTTGTGTATATTTTCCAAATCATTTGCCAGAGCACCTCAAAAACATATTCTTTAAACCCAGTAAAATCCTAAGGAAGCACAGGGCCAAACCCCAATACCCCAGAGACTGCCTGACTTGGTCTCTGGCTATGACCAGCTTTTTAATTTGAGGGCACTTGTCTGGATCCCTACCACGATTATACCAAAAGCATCCTTTCCACAGTCAGAGGATTAAGCCCTGCTCAGGTTTAAGGTCTCCTGCTCCCAGTCTGCATTAAGCCATCTGGTTTGTGTGCCGCTGACCTTTGTCAGTTCGCATTAATTCACAGGGGTTGATGAAAGAGTTCCAAGCTGCAGAGCTATGAGTCACTGCTGGGACATAGATGGGTAATGAAAAAGCTGTTCCATTTTGTTTTGAATTCCAGATCTTCACAAATAAATCTGTTTGGACCCAATCAGATTTCTATAAAATTCCTTTCCTGTTACACTAATCTGTTTGCTGGCATCTTGAGCTCCACAGCTCAGCCACCAGCTGCAGGATGGGATTCTGTATCACCTTCTCCATCCCTGTGTGCCATCCTCCTTCATTTTCCTTGTGCTCCTGAACACTTGAGCATCTTTCCCAAAGTCACCTTCTGTACAAGCATTCCCCTTTCTGTCTTACAGCAAACCCAAGCAGCTCAGTGTCTCTGCATCAACGGATCTAGCCAAAATGTGTTAGCAACAGGCATATCATGCACAACCAGGCCAGGCAGCTGGGGATGCATCCAGCACTACTCAGCCTTTTCACACATGGAGCCCAGGTCACTGCAGCAGCACAAATGCCATCCAACAGCCCTGGTTTGGTTTGCTGAACATCAAGGAGGCTGTTGGTATTCACAAAAAAATACCCACAGAGTTTCTCCAATTCATTCCAGAAAGTATTTTCTTTCCTGCTTTGTTGGTTGGGTGATTGTTCAGTTTACTCTGCTGCTCTTTCAGGCAGCTACAGTCGTAAAGGGTTTCCACGTGACCAGGCCTGTGCCATCCAGAAAGAATAGTAAATCATTGCAGTAAGCAGTGTGCTAGCTCTCCTTCATGGGGAAGTTAGCCATTTGAGCTTGACTTTGTGAATAGCATCCCTGGAGGCTGGGAACACTTTCCAATGAAAGGCTTCCCTCTTCTGGACTGTGAGCTTGGAAAACTGCATTTGGTATGCTCCCATCTCAGCTCCTTCTGCTGTCCTTTGTGCCTTCCCAAAGCATTACTCCAGGGAGAGAGAGGAGAGATGCATCTCTTGGCTGGATCTGCAGAGATGCACAATTGCAGAGCATCAGCAGAGGTGTCAGAGATATGGATGGATGGTCAGAGGTCAGGGTACCCCAGGGGACTGACCTCCGACCACTGTTATTAGAACAGATGTAAATATAAGAGGCCTTGATCACATCATTTGTAATTAGTCAGCAAAATTGATGTGAAAGTAAGTAATAGGAAAGTGTTTAAATGAGATGGTGTTTAAATGAGATGGGAAAAGCAGAGTTACTCAGCGCTGGCTGTGCTGCTACCTTCCTTCTTTTCTTCTCTGTTAGCAATTAGTTTTAAGGAGGAAAAGAGGATAGCCTAGTGCCTAAGGCTGCAATACTCCCACATGCTTGCTTCTACTGTTAACTGTGTTGCCATCTTTGCTCTGGGAAGGATAGTTGCTGGAATGGTATCTGGGGACTGGAACAGTCTGCCCAGGAAGGTGGCCGAGCCACTGTCACTTGCAGGTGCTCAAAGCATGTTGTGGTGTATTCAGGGACATGGTTAGTAGGCAGTAATTGTGATAGGTGGACTGTTGGACTAGATGATCTTAAAAGCCTTTTCTAACCTTAAGGAGTCTATAATTTTGATCCACCATTTGCATCCAAAACTGAATATCTGGAGGGTGAGGGATGAGGCAAAGACAACAAAGAATCTCTTCACACCAAGCACATACATATAAGATGGAACATAAGAGTGATGGTTAAGGCATCCAAGGGTTATGCCTCCAATGTTTCTCTGTTCATTGCTGATGAGAGGGTTGCACATGTAACCTTTGTCATCTGCAGTGTGGACAGTGAGGAGAGCATTCAGCTCAAACTGCATTTGAACAAACATTCAGATCTCAGACCAAAGCACACATGCATCCTAGCTTAGATCTCCCCATTCTTCCCAGGATCTATAAAGCAGGTGAAGGAGAAACATTTGCCAGGCTTTGAAGTATGTGGAGCAAACCACAGCAGTGCCCCTTGCATGTCAGTAATCCAGTGCAGCTGAAACCACTGCATCTTCTCTGTGGGTGAACACTTTCAAAGCAGCCACAGACCTTGGAGCAGTGAGAATTTGTCCCTGAGGAGGATTTCAGTGACCACAGGTTGTCCTTTAGTGCAGTGTACAACTGAGTGTCCATTTGCCAAATCCTCTAGCACAAGCTTCTTAGAGACGATGATGCTGGGATCAGGTGGGCTGGCAGAAATGGTGCCTATTCAGCAAAATTCAGCATCCCTTTTTCCCCCTATAGAAATTACTGCCATTTGAAGTACCCACCAGTGGCACTGTGAGCCAGACCAGCTGTGTCTGCTTAATTAACTCAGTGCTCAGATGAGGTTGATTCACAGAAACAGGGTGGAAGGGATGAGTCAAATAAGGTTTTCACCTTTTTCCTAAATGTGCTGCTCTGAAGAATTTTGACCAACATCTCCCCCAAAAACCCCATGCATAACATAAGAAGGCTTAAGAGATCTACCATTTGTTGCAACCTCAAAGTAAGCATTGTACTGACATTAGCATCTGTGTAAGGAGTAAACAAGAAATGTCACACAGCTCTCAGCAGTGGAGTTCCAGCAAGCAGCACGATGAGGTTGCTTGGTGTTGGAAAGGATGCCACAACCATAAAGCACCCGTTTAGCTCTGCATTGGGTTGGACTGCTACTCATGCCTTAGCTTTCTGGCCTAGAAATACTCAAAATCAAGTGCAGTATACATTGCTTCTACTGTGTGTTTCCTTTCACACAGCATGACCCGTTTCCCCTTTGGCCCTGTTTAGCACATCTCATGCCAGAGGCTGCCCCAGCTGAAATCTGCATTTCCAGCGCTGTAGAGAGAATCGCACATCTTCGGCTTTTTTTGTTGCTACTGCCTTTTCAGAAGCAGGTTACCTTAAAAATTCTCATGTTCTTAAAACCTTACTAAGTCCTAACTGATGAGCAATGACCCATGAAGGTCAAAGCAGCAATGATTCTTGGAGGATGTTCTACTTGATGGAGCCAGTTATTCCCCTGACACACAGCACAAGAGTTGGATTGCCTTCCATACAGCAAACATGCACATTGCCAGATCACAGTCTTGATTATATCTATATCAACCTGCTTAAAATACCATTGGCTGCAATTAAAATACAGGCATGGACCAGATGCTGCAAGCTGTGCCTGATAGTTCCTGCTTCCAACACAGAACTACTTCTGCTTCAAAACTTATCCTTCATCTTCCTCTTTCTGACATCCTCTGTGATGGAAAACAGTTTTCTGCTAACTTTTTTTCATTGTTGTTTTCCTCTAACTTGCCCGCAACTTCTGATGGTCTGGTTCAGGCCTACCCCATTGCACCATCATTCCCTTAAATCTAAAAGCAGGATGCTCATTTCAGCACATCTGTCACTTGGCCTTTTTTCTCTCTGAGAATCAAATAAGCAATATCCCACGTTCCTCCTCCTCTAGTGAACAGAGCTTCTGATGCTTGGCCTGGGGTTAATTGTAGGGCTAACCAAGTCATGAAAAAAACATTCTGGGAAAATGCAGAAGATTTCTTGCTTGATTGGACCAAGCAATCTTTCTTTTTAAATTCATTGTCACAGGACAGCCAAGCAGATCTCTATTACAAGATATGTTTCTCCTTCCTTACAACTTCAGACCACAAAAGACACACACTTTGCTCTGGCTCTTTTAAAAAGTTGACTCAACTTGCCCTTAGTTCCAATGCTGAGTCAGGGGAGGCCAGTCAGCAAGATCCAGAGTATTTCTGCACCAGCTGTAGCTTGTCAGCTCAGATTGTAAGTGCACCCTCAGAAGGGGCAAAAGGCAGTTTCCTTCTGTATCACCTCCATCTTGCTGATGATCATTTGAGCTGAAAGGAACCCTTAAAGGCCATCTGATCCCACCTCCCTGCAATCAAAAGGGACACCCACAGCTCCATCAGTTGCTCAGAGCCCATCCAGCCTGACCTTAGCTGTCATTAGGGATGGGGCACCACCACCTCTCTGAGCAACTGTAACAACCAGAAAGATCAATGCAATAGAACAGTGTTACAGGAGATACAATGGCAAGGGAACCAGCATGATAGAAATGTGTTACAAAACAAAAATGCTCACCTGTCTCTGAAGATCTAGGCTCACAAGGAGAAATCCACAAGGGAGGGACCTCCAACCAGAGGTCCTTCCCCTGTGGCCATCAGCCCTTAAATGAGGTCTAAGAGAGGTGCAGCCAGGCTCCACCCTTCCTGTCACACAGCTGAATTGCCTTCACCTGTGCTCCCAGGGCTGACTGGGTCCTTTCCCAGGTGCTCAATCAGTGGTTCAGGCCATGACTCAGCAGTTACCATACAGCAACCTGTGCCAGAGCCTCACTACCCTTATTGTAAAAAAAAAACTTCTTCCTTATATCCGGTCTGAATCTCCTTCAGCTTGAAATCCTCGAAGTGATGGAGTAGGAAACTGCAGCCAGAGATTTCCCAGTGCTTCTGGCCCAGTTAGGTACCCTGAAAAATCCAGTTGAAGACTAAATCTGATGGAGCATCCCTTACTGCCCAACTACTCTCTGAAATTCCATTACTGCTTTCCCAATTCTTCCCTATATCAGAACTGTTCTGACTTTTCTCCCCCTCATTCATGTTCATCCAGCCCACGCTTCACCCATCCTTGAGGAGGATGCTCCATGCAGGAGGGGAGGATCCCCTGTTGTGTCTTACAGGTACATGTGGGCCAGTACACTCCACGGGGAGAGTCAGTGAACACAGTTTTAAGCAGAGGGTATGTTAGGGGGAAGGAAAAACAAGAGGAGCAATAACAACACTGCTGAATTTTGGCATCCTGATGCTGTAATGGCCCTGAGGGTTCACGGCAAGGCCCCTGCATATGCTGCTGAGCTGCTGGCACAGTGTGGAGCCCAGTTGTCCTATGGTGTTTGCACCCCCTTGCAAAGCACTGAAAATGCTAGAGAGCTACTCTTCTCCACAATGATTTCATTTTTAAAGGCTATATGATAGGAGCTGATCCTTTCCATCAGTTCTTTTAAACCTCATGCTGCTCATCAGCTGTTGGTGAAGAGATGGCCAGACCCATCCTCTACCCTATCCCCCATTCTGATACACTGCCAGACATTGCAGTGCAGGGAGGGCTCTCTTCTAGGGAGCAGGGTCTATGTTGGGGCTTCAAACTGCTTTATAAACTTCTCAGTTAAAAGCCATTGGAGGAATGTAAAATATTAGTGGTATTTTAAGAAAGTGTGTGGGTGTGTAGACACAATTAATTTTCCTTTTTATAGGCCTACGTGGAATATCTCCACCTCCAAGGAAGATGTCTAGGACTGTGCATTGCTGGCACCCCAGAGCAGGGCACTGCTAACAGAAAACACCATTGAAATTAACAGTGTGGTCAGGCAGCGTCATCCCGATAAATGATCACACGAGTGAGGGAGGCGTCAGACTGAGAGCCTCTCTGTCCTTCCCAGGCTGAAGCAGCTCGTTTGTCCTCGTTAAACGCACACGGTAGCAGTTGTAAGGGATTTTTGTCACGTTAGTCCCCTAAGATCAGAGAGGAGCTGATGCGACTGCGTAGGATTAAACAGCAGAGGGTATGCGCACTCGCGTACATGCAGGCAGCGTGTCTGCTCCCATGCTATGTATTGTTATTGACACACTGCACCTTAATGGCTATAATGTCAATGGGCACTTTGGGACCTTTACTTGTGGATTATTAATGCATTAGTCCATAGCTTTTATGGGTTATCGTGTCAAGAGTGGTAGGAGTGGATGCCTGCAGTATATGGGCAGAATAAAGATATTTCTTAATCAGAGCTGTGTACATAGCACAGCTGTGTGCTGAACCTTAGAAGTCCCATTTGCTTCTGTGCTGTACCTGCTTCCAGCATGGAAACAATGACACCAGTGAGGAAAAGGGTCTAGAAAAGCACTCCGGGGAAAGGAAGAGAGCTCATGCTGTAACGAGGCAGTTGCGCATTGCTGTCCCAGGCTGGGGGAGATTATTTCCTGATACCCTGCAGCATGAAGATTAATAGGCTCTTTATTTTATTGTTAGGAAGTGCAGGTGCTGCCTTTATTTATATAGACGTGCGCTGCTCTCTTGGCTGCAGGCTCAGCCCAGAACGAGCCCTCCCATAGGATTTTGGGGAGAGGAACTTTCTCACGCTGTTCCTGCCCAAAGCCAATGTCACGCCGCATTTGAATGCGTGTCCTTCTGAATATGATGGAAATTGCAGGTGCTCAAGGGCTGGATCCTGCTATTTTAAAGGGCCTTTTTGAACACAGCATGATTTGCAGGGGAGAGTGATGCCTGGGTGCAAGAGGTCTCAGTACATAGAGTATGTATGAGGGCTGCTCCAAAAGTAATGCCTCTCATTTCATTTCATTATGTTGGCCCATAACGTCACAGGAGGATGTTGGTGATATGACAGCAGAGGTAGAACCTTCCCACCAATATTCTCTTACATTTTGTTGCCTTGAGACAAATGGCAGCAGAGGAGTAGTCTGACAAAATGGAGTCTGATGTGGAAGTGCACATATGAAGCAAAGATGTGTCACTGCATTTCTCAGTGTGGAAAAAATGGCACCCATTGACATTCATTGACACTGAAAGTTTATGAAGACCAAACAGTGGATGTGAGACAATGGGTGGTGCAGTTCAGCAGTGGAAAGATGAGTCGTGTTCCTGACAGCCATGCAGATTTCTTTGAGTAAGGCATGCAAGATCGCATTCATCATCAGTGAAAATACATAGCTAATGGGGGTGAGTATGTTGAAAAATAGTGGCTGAGAATTTGCTCTACCAAATAGTGTTTTTGTGCTCTTTCTATCTGCTGTAATTTTTATGGAAATAAATAGGAGGCAGTACTTTCGGAGCAAACTACATATATTTGCAAAGCCTTGTTGGACAAAATGCCGTGTTTAAAGCTGCAGGTGAAGAAGTATAATGTGCTGAGGCTCTGTGAAAGGAGCCCTGGTGTGCTAAGTGGAGCAGAAGGACAGAGACCCACCAGCAGGGAGGGGACCAGGGACACACGAGCGTGGTCAGAAATGTCCTGGCTGACATTTAGCAACGCGGTTGCACCCAGGACAGGACATTGGAGCAGTGAGTGATGGGCAGCTCAGCCGCAGTTATACAAGTGAATGTAAATGGGTTTGCTTCGGACAAGAGTTGCCATCCTTTTGTAGTTACTACTGCTCCTCTATGATGAGACCTGGAGGAATTATCTGCGTAACCGAACTGTTGGGCAATGGAAGCCATAATCATCCAATATCAGAAACCAAAACCACATCACAGGTGGTTTTCTTTCTCATGGGAGGGGAAAATACCGCTAACACATGGGCTGCAATGGCAAGAAAGAAGCACTGTGGTCTGATCCCAGGGGCTGCTGTTCTGAAGAGCTGGAGGTGAGTGGTGCCATGACATGGGGGGAAATCTCTTGTTTGCAAACTGGGAGACGTCCTTCAGTTTCTCAACTTCTCATTCCCTTGGCTTCACATCTCAAGGAGGCAAAGAAATCCTTCTGTTTTCCTGACGGTACTGAATAGAATTTGAGTTTCCATCATGTCATATCTGGGCCATGGAAAGGCCCCTGCCTTTATTGTGTGACGACACAGAAATTACCGAGTAATTACAGGATTATGCAGCACCCTGTAAATTAAATGTTACCTCTCTACCTTTTATAGAACAAAAAATAACCATGTAATTACCTGGTGAATTAAGCTGTTAAGGTCTCATGATAATTATACATGGAGTCAAAAGCTCCGAGTTCTTCTGGTAGTTACAACTAAAGAATCATCTTTCATTTTTTAAACATATGTTGCAGTTGGATCCCAAAGCCTGCACATTTCCATTTTAATAACACTATGGCCTGCCCAAATGAGAAGAGGCATATGTCTCCCATCTGAGTGTGCAAATAGAGTGAACATATATATATATAAAATAGATTGGACATATGCAAAAGTGACCCAGGTTCATACCAGAGAAATTATATGGACTGAAATGGAATAGCAACACGATTAGTTGGACGATAACGTTTAAAATTGTGTTTAGTTTCCTAGCACTGGAACCTGTTTTCACAGGAAGCAAGTCAGCGTGATGCTATTTTTAATATCCACATGTGATTGTATTTTGAAAACAGACAATCAAAGCAGCCATCGGGAAGCTCTGTCCCCTAAAGGGAGGCTGGGGACTTGCAGCGTGCATGGCTTTGCTGTTGGGCTGAATACCCACCTCCCAGCACTGCTGGGAAGATATCAGAAAGGTGCCTGCAGCTGCTGAAATACAGGTCAGGTTTTTACTTGGCGTGAGGATTTGCAGCACATATCAATTGCCATTTTTATTCTGTATATCTTCAGCTCTGGTCAGCAGTACAAATGCCTTTTCAATCTTTTAAGATTCAGGTGTTTATTTCAACTGCTCTACATAACTTCTTTTTTCTTTAATTTTTAACCAGAAAATAAAAGCAGGCTGAAGTGTTTCAGGTTTTCTTCTCCTTCAGCTTTTCTCCTTCCACATTGGAACAGTATCCAGAAAAATCCCAATGAACTTCAGCGATGAAATAATAACTGTGTCCTCTCTCTCTGTCTTTCTCTCCTGTGCGTGTCCTCTCAGGTTAAAAACAGGCATTTTTGTAGGTCCCAGAATCAGATTCTTTGGCTTTGTAATTTTAGACCCCTAAATCAAAAACAGGGGATATTATGGTATTCTGAGCACCATCTGAAAGGTGCTGCATGCTCACCTCCAGCTCTGCAAAGAGGCATTACGTGCACTTCTTAGCTAATTTTATAGCTTGCTTTGAAATATGCAGTGTGTTACATAAGTGCTCACTGTGGTAATCATGGAAGAAAATACCGAACCAAGTTTAGAGCTGGGTTTCTCCTTTAATGAAGCTTAGCACTGACATTTTAACTATTAACATTGTGTCTACAGTTTCTATTGCAGACCTAACTATTTCACCTACAAGTCATCTCTAATCCAAACAGTAATTGCTCCAGGTACAAAATGAATTGAAGTAATTATCTTCTAATCTATTTTTTCTTATTATGCATTTATTCTCATTTTGGTTTCAATGTGATCAGCAATTCCCTCTGCTTTGCCGTGTTTAAATCCTGCAGTAATGCTGCATGCTGAACACAGTAACATGCATTTGCTTCAAAGAGTCATTTGTATCCCCTGTAA